GTGAAAAATGGTCAGAATTTGCTAGCGTGGCTACATGTTAAATAGATTTCCAAAGGACAGTAAATTTGTAGATAAAACATTCTTTTAAGTAGTGTCCGAGATATTTGAATGCTCTGCGTCTGTGAAGGTTCTCATGCTCTGCGTTCGGTCATCATAAGGCCATGGTTTCTACATGATTAACTTGATGGGAGGGCATTCAGAAGAGAAACACCACAAAAATCAACATAGAAGCTTGAAAATATCCGCTGAGTACTAGAGTTAGAGGTGCAGAATGTCCTGGCAGAACACGTCTCTAATTTGTGAGCACATGTCCTGAGCATCTGTTGCATGTGATCGCACAGCAAGCATCTCACTGGGGTGGTAGATCTATAGTAACTGCAGGCTGAAGATGTTTAAAAATGCAGCCCTGTATGAGTTTATGGGTTGGATTTGTAAATTAGAACCAACTGATGTTGTTTTTGTTTAGTTTGGTTTTAGCTTTACTTTGTGCCTGAATTAACCTTTTGTATGTTTTGTTTTTTTAGCAGGTTTCAATGAGGTGATACTCGCAGCTGTGCTGTCATCCTCGCTTTTATTTGTTCTCATTGTGGTAACAGCTTGCATCTGTAAGCTAAAGGCGTGGACATTTAACCCCTCAGATACTCTACCATCGTCTCTGGTAAGGTGTCAAATAAAAAACTAAACTAAAATAAGCAGGACATGATGACATGATTAGCTGTTTTTTTTAACCTTGTGCCAAATGCTTTTTCTGTTCCTGTACCTTGCAGAAGGACAGTGCAGGGAATCAGAGCAAGCATCCACCCAACCCAACCAGACCACACATTAGTCGAATCTCTGTCAAAAGCAACAGCAGTCAGGACGACCCCGAGGAAACTGTTCTTCTCAAGGACACCGGTCAGTCTGCAGACAACAGCAGTGCTGGCTCTGACTACAACCCTAGCAACTCCTGCTACGCAGAGAGACCGCATTTGGACAGCAGCGATTCTGACAGAAGCGGGACGGATGATGACTCTGGAGATGACTCTGTAAAGACGGAGTGTGTTTCAATTGAAGAAAGGTCTGCTTATGACTGCCCACATGTGATGATGGACATGGGTGGTGGAGACATGGTTACAGGTTACACTGGGAAGTAAGTCATGACTCAGAGGACTGAAGCTGTTTTTTTGTTTAAACTCAGGTCATCAAAGGTTAACAGTCTAAGCCCACCTTTGGAATGTGAGTTTATAACAATATGAAATCTTCACTATATTTTTGCCAGTGGTTACCACTGCACTGACAGACTTGGCTGTCTCAGGGAAGCAAGCTGGACATCTTTGTCTTCCAGCTGTTTTCTGTCAGGTTGCAGAGGCAGCTAGCTGGATCTCTGCTGGTTTCTGCCCCTGCATCAGATACAAGGATAATAGGCAACTTTTATATACCGTCTTTTAATCTCTGCTTAACATATATGTCTATATATAAAGTGATCCGGCACAATATTAAAATCACCTGCCTATTATTGTTTCGGGCTCAGCAGTGCTATGTGACAGTGTTTCCTTTCACTGTGGAGTGGAGCTTCTCTGCATTGTGCTTTTTTCGCTACATGCTGCAGAGAAGTGATCAGTTTGGACTTTTTCAGTGTAGTGAGGTGACTGACTGATGTGGATTAATCTAAAGGAGGTTGTTGGAATATTAACTACTACTTTGATCTATTGACAGCAGTTGCAGTGAAAGGTGCAAATATCTACTGATTGTCAGGGGCAACCATATTAACTAATCTAAACAAATATAATGTATTTGCATCTTTTTGTATTGTGCTCTACGACAATTGCTTCCATTCATTTTCTAAATTTGTGTTGGGGCTTATCAAAGCAGTGTCATAGCGTGGCTGGAGCCTATACCAGCCGACGGTGTGTGTGAGACATTTGGGACAGGGGAGTCCGTCCATCTGTTCTCTTAACTTTATATCTAAGACAATGGAGCCTGTCTGAGACTCACCCTGGGGGAAAGTCTATCACCAGGCCAGTGGCTCAAATAAAACCCAACTATCTATAACAGGGTAAATAAACATGATTGTTTTTCTGTCTTTTTGTTGTATTGACCCTTAAACACTCTTAAAATGCCTTAGAGCCATTGTAAGGGTTTTGCATGAATAGTCAGAGATAAACCAAGGATTTTCCACTCCTGACAGCAGATCTGCAGGTGTCACAACTACCTTTAATGCTGCTGACGGTGCCACACCTATGCAGCCTGTTGCTTGGAAAAACTGCAGCCGGCAAAACCTGCTCTGTAGGCCATGGGTTAGTGCCTTTGTTCTGCTTGCCTCAGAAGCACGCAGGTTTGTTTACTTCAGGGTTGATGTTTTGTTTTTTTCTATGATGTGGGAAGTGTAAAATATTGTTGTATTTTTGTACAGCTTATATGATCACATTCTCTTTAAAGGTCGGACACTGGAATGATTTTTTAAGTTTTTTATGTGCATTGACCAAGAATGTTTGCTTCCAGCATCACTAACAACATGAAAACGTATCAAACATCAGTTTCTCCTCTGACTGAAACATTTAGGCCTGCTCTCAGCACGCGGTCCTTTGTTGCATAACAAGAAGGAATGTAAACACATTTTGTCCTGTGGGGATTAGACGGCACGTTAAAATCGGCAGGAACCCGGAAAATTGCTTCTGTCTTGTTTTGATCATTTATTCAGAACTTTTATGATTTTATCGCCAGCAGTGACGACTGTTTATGGCTGGGTGTGACTTGAAGTGTTCCAATACAAATCAAATGTAAGGGGATGCATTACAGGTGAAAAGAAGGAAAGAATTTTCTAATATAACTATTAATCTTCCATTGTGGATTACTTAAAGTAAGAATATTTGTAATATCTATTTTCTGAAATGTAATGATTTTGCATTATCATACATATTTCTTCCACGACACTGTCCTGACCAAATACAGTGCTTTTTTCATTTTGCTCATATTTTAGTGTGAATGCTATCGTCAACAGTTGCCATGCTTTTTATTAATAAATTGAGTGAAGTGCTGCTGAAGTGGACATTTGAACTGGCCAGAAAATGTGTTTTTGTATTTTTTAGTTTTTGTGAAGCATTATTTAAGTTTATATAATATCACATTGAAACTTGCCAAGATAACTTCTTCGATTATGATCCAACCAACAAAAGTAAGAAATACTGGTGTTAAAGGCAACGTGTAGATACATCAGTATTAGGCTTTTGGTTGCTGTCATGTTTTATTTTACCTCAAGTCATATATTTGGATAAAAACAACAAGGTTCTTACTTGCTCACTAAGTTACAGGCATAAATTGCAGGGTACAATCAAAGACGGTAGAAAACACATAATCCTGCTAATTAATAGACTAATAAAAAAATTGAACTACTACTCCAAACTGAAGCAAAAATGTCTTGAACAGCAAGCAATCATTTCTTTATATGTTTAAAATTCTTCAGACTCATGTATTTTAGATCATGGTTCATTAAAGCCTTAAAAAGGCAACACCAAGCAAACAACTTGGCAAAGAAACCATTTAAAACGTTGTCTAGGCACTAGTAAGATACTGTTTTTGCACCACTCAGGTGATTTCCTAAGAGCAATTAGCCAAGAACTTGCCATATTTCAGCATGATGTGTTCTTGGGAAAAAAAAATACCCGCTCCTTTTGAGAAAACTGAACAAGTCTTTCTCAGTAGCAGGCCTGAAAAGCTTATCTGCAGATCAGCAGATGAACTCATGTAAAAGTGATGTGGTAGTTCAGAGCAGGTTAAACTGGTTTGCAGTTCAGTGGTGACGTTTACAGTAACGTTTTAACTGATTATTCAGTCGCCTTTATGTATAAAGACAGCATGATACATGATCTGCTCTAATCCTGTTGAAGTCAATTAAATCTGGATGTCAGAGCAGCACAGCTCAGCTGATCACAGCCTGCACTGGCCCTGTAGAAATAGAATCAATAGAAATCACTGCAACTTTAAGTGATCGTTTTCTTCCCCATACCCACTGTAACTCCTGACTTTAGTCATTTTTCTGATTAAGTATGAAGGCAGAGACACACATCTACAAAGAGCCTTTTTTAATTTCCTGTTTTTCTCTGCTTGTGCTTCACAAAACTTTACTTCAGGCTCAATCTCTCATTCCACCAGTAAAGATGTGAAATCAACGTAGCGTGGAGAGAAGTGCGTTTCCTTTATTGTTGCAGGTTAGGTGTTTAAAGTGACCCTCTAAATTGTTCTTGTTTGTACTCCACCTCGTTATCCTTATTTGTTGCTCACAGCTCAGTTTAGACACGTGGCTAGCAAACGAGTTGCCATAGCAATGTTAGTAAAATTTGTGCTGGAGCTGATCCCTGTTTTGCTTGATGGGCAGGCCGCCTCCAGCTGCCTGCGTCAGAGCTCATCTCTGTTTGAAGAGGACAGCACTTTCTCCTGTTTCAACTACAGAGCTTCCTCAGCCCCTGCTGGTGATTAGTTGGATCTACAACAGCACAGAAGGACTTAAGTCTTGTGTAGCAATCAGTTTAATTCAATTGTATTGATGTTGTTTTTTCTTTTAATTATGCTAAATGTGTTGATATCTCAGCCCTTCAGTGAACACCAATGAATTAGTACAAAATGTAAAGTTTATGAAATGCACAAAAGAAACATCTTGTATTTACAGTAATAGTTTAGAGATGTTATTAAATGTGTATCTTAAGTTTGTGCACAGACACATAAGCTTTATCAATGTAAGCTTATTTCATAACATCATATAGTGACCAAATTACTACAATTATAATCACAAAAATGCTCAGAAACTACTCGTACAAACTCGGCTCTTCAGACCGGACGCATCTCATTCACTATGAGACAAACGGGCCCATAATACAGTGAGTTTTTTTTAAATTGATGATAATAACCATAATAAAATTAATATTGCTGCTTAGATATGATTAACACAGAATCAGCCACTGAGTCATCCACCTTATCACCTGTGGTAAAAGTACAGCAAGACTTACAGAAAGAATCTCAGAAACCTGGATTAAAGTATTTTTAATAAAGGCGCAAAATTCATATTTGACAGGCATGACTGAAGCGTGACAGACGGTCCTTCAGTATTCCTTCGACAGGACGATATCCTGAGCCGGATTACTGGAGATGAAATTCAATTTTTGCTCTTTCCTGAATGAATTGGATGATTTGGGGAAACCAATACTTCCCAACATCCCCTCAGCCCTCTCATTTGCCATGATTTCCTGTTCTGGCAGCTCCACTGAGGTGAAGAGCAACATGTGACCAGTTGAAAAGTCAGTGTCGGCACAGGCCTGGCAGGCAGCTGCTAAAGCTTCAGGCCTTGAACATTTGTCCTCAGGTTCAACATCTGCTTCTCCTGTCGGGCTTTTTCCTCCTTGAATGCCATTTTATTGGCTTTCTTTTCAACTCTTCTTTCCTAAAGAAAAAAAACAAAACACAATAAAATAAAAAATATCAGGAATCAAAATGTAAAACTGATATTCTACAAATCTCTTCATGGCATAATCACAGCTTCCTTTCTGTGGGAAGGCTTTGTAACATCACATATTTCATCATTAACATAAATAACTGAGCCTAGTCAGCACAGGATACCAAAGTATTTACCCCAGTTTGCACTTGGATTAGACTCCTTTCAATGACTTCTTCAGCTCGTTAATCTTAGGCTGGGTTAAAGAATTAGACCTTTGTCATTCTGACTCAACAAATTCCAAGAAAAGAACAAAACCAACATTGACTTGGTCCTCAATAATCTGTCTCCCCAAACAGGCTCCTCACTCTCAATTTTTACAAACACTTCATAAACACTTGGTCTAAAAAAACAGCTGGTCAGTGTCGTTTTATTCTGTTAAAAGGAGAATATTTTCAGCAGTGTACTAATCCACATTTGGGGCTCAGCAGTACAGAGAGACTAGGTCAAAATTAACTCGTGCTGATGATGGAGACAGCTGATTTTAGATGGTGCTGAGAGGAGTCGTCTCTGATCCACTGTCACAGCAGTGACTTCAGATACAGCTCGCCGACCTGCTCGCGTCAGGTCACAGGTGCTGTGACTTCATCATTTGGTTCTAAACAGAGGCCGGGACAGACTTCCTCACCTTACGTTCTTCCTTGATAGCCTGTTTCCTGGCCTTCCTCTCTCCTTTGCTCTCCTCTTTGCTTCGAGGCTGAGCGGAGACACGAGGCAGGTCTGTGTCGTTAATTCTCGTCATGCGCTCTGCCTGCTTGGCTGTGAGGCCTCTGGCTGGGAGCACATCCAGAGGGATGCCCGTCTTACTGGAAACACGGATCGGCTTTGGCTAAAGAGAGAGACAATTCAATTCAGACCACACGTGAATAAACATGAATAATAAACCTTAAAAAAATGACTCAAACACATTTTCTAAGCGTTTTATAAGAGCCTATCCCAGCTGTCTCGCTCCAAGACAGCTGGGATAGGCTCCAGCACCCCCTACGACCCTGAAAAGGATAAGCAGAAGCAAATGGACGGATTCATAAGTCACATTACTGACAACAACAACAGGATTAAAATGAAATAGATTCAAGAGTTTTTCAGAATTTTGAAGGTCTGACTCTGATTCTGGACGAAGCGTTTTCAGTGGAGAGACCACTAAACGTTTCTCGCTACGTCCAGATGAACCGAATCCACTTAATAATCAGGAAGATCGAGCATGCATGGCTATATTCTTTAACATTTGTAAAAACAAAATCCAGTCTTTGTTTTTTACCTTTTGAGGTTCTTCGATGACTTTGGGTCTGTTATACATGTTGGAGTATGTACCTGGAGGAGAAAAGAAATGGATCATCTGTAGAATAAAGATATTTTACACTTCCCACCACTACTGAACAATAAATTAAACCAACACCATAAAGTAATCTCAACAGTCTCAGTTTGTTGGAGCTGCACTCATCCATAAAGGATACAGCAAGACTTCCAAAATAATTGTTTTATACTATTTTGCACTAGGGCTGCCACGATTTGTCGACTAGTCACGATTTCGACGACTGATTTAATAGTCGACGCATCGTTTGAAGCTTTGTAAGATC